CTCTCTCTCTCTCTCTCTCTCTCTCTCTCTCTCTCTCTCTCTCTCTCTCTCTCTCTCTTTGTGTGCGTGTGTGTCTGTGTGTGCGCTAGTAGGTTGGTTGGTCAGTCTGTTGGGCAGTCGGTCGGGCGGCGGGTGGTTGGGCAGTCGGTCAAGCAGTCGGTCGGTCGGGCGGTCGGTCGGTCGGCCGGATGGTCGATTGGTTGATTGGTCGGTCAGCTGATTGGTTGGTCCGTATGTCGGTCGATCGGTCAGTCCGTCCATTCATCCATCTGCCTGGCTGCCTGCCTGCCTGATTCTGTCTGTCTGTTTGTCTGTATGTTTGCCAGACTGCCTGCCTGTCTGTCTGCCGGCTTGTCCGTCTGTCTGTTCGTTTGTCTGTCACTGTCACTGTCTCTCTCTCTCTCTCCTCCATTGATGTGGTCCGCATATGGTCTTATGTGATAAACTAAATACAAACTTGGGGTCTTTTAGAAAAGCAGTGTTGGTTGTGCAAGGAACCCGAGTGTCCAGAAACTGGTACAATGTTCTAGTCATCAATCTCTACCTGTGTGCTTACTTTCCTGTGTCCCTTCCACCTGCTGTCAGGACCTTCTTACACTACTCCCTTCCATCCTTCTTCTCCTTTCTCCCTTCCCTCCTCTCCATTCCTCTCTGTTTCCTATCTTTTTCCCTCCCCTCCCCCTTCCCCTCCCCCTCCCCCTCCCTCCCTCCCTCCATCCCTGCATTTCTTCCTACTCTTCTCTCCTCCCCTCCTTCCCTCCTTCCCTCCCTCCCTCCATATTTTTCACCCTCCCTCCCTTCCTCCCTCCCTCCCTCCCTCCCTCCCTCCACACCTTCAGTTCCACCTTTTTTATTTCAATTTATTTGTTTCCCCATTTTTTTCTTTCTTAAATTCCACCAGTGACAACAGATAGTAGTGATGATACGAGCATGCACTCCTACCCCTGTCTTGCAGGGGGCTCCAGTCTATTGGCGGGGAGCTACACATACTGGAAAGCAGGTCCAGCGTCCCCTAATGTTGAGATGATACATCAACACATGCTGGGAACCGGGCCCGGCGTCCCTCATAAGACTACTGATTAAACTGCAGTAACAACTGATGATGATGGACTGCTGATGATGGACTGCTGATGCTGATGCTGATGCTGCTGCTGCTGCTGCTGCTGCTGCTGCTGCTGCTGCTGATGATGATGATGATGACGATGATGACGATGATGACGATGATGACGATGATGATATTAATCATGATATTAATCATGATATTAATCATGATATTAATCAGAGTTATTCTATAGAAAAATATGGGCTACAACAGCAATACCTGTCCGCACACTCCATGACCAACTAGACACAACACTTCAAGAGTGAAATAAATTATTTGTTTCCCTTCATTGAGTGCGACAGCGTAATGAGTCATAAATGACTCATCCTTTTTGCCTCCCTCAGATCCAGTACATCTACAAGTGCGACGAACCTGGGTGGTCTCTCTCCTATATCGAGGTTTTGCCCTTTCTCCCTTCTTACCCAGTAACTCTATCTGATCTCTAGAGCTGAAACAGAGGAGGGCCTGTTTGACAAATATGCACATTGTAGACGTGTCCTTTTCAGAATTACATGGCGGGCAAGCAATGAGCTTTGGAAATTTGCAAATTGGAACCTTTGTCATAACAGTGCACAGACACATCAACTTGCTACCATCTTCACCCGGATAGAATGCCCGGTCATTATGGCTGCATCTGGACTGAAAGTTGGGCCAAATGCAGCTATAATGACCGGGCATTCTATTTAGGTGAAGACGGTAGGACCAAAATGCTCTGCTCTTGTGTTGGGCACATCAACCTCGCAAGTTGGGCTGTTTCCGGAGATTTCGGAGAACCTGTCTGGTTTTTTTTTTTTTTTTTTTTTTTGGGTGGGAGAAAGCAATTGAGGGGGTGATAAGAGCGCAGCCCTCTGAAGTGGACCCCCGGGTGAAGGCTAAGCACAAGTGATTTGGTCCGAGAAATGCATTGAAGGCAGTGAAGAGAGAGTGATCTGTTTTTGGGATGTGATGGGCAATCACAACAAAGTCGAAGAAAGTGTGTGACGCAGCATGGAGTTGATGTTAGGATGGAAAAGCTACATTGCTGTTCGCGCCTGTTTGTCGATCTAAAAGTTGCTTTATGCAGTGTTCACAATGTGCATGTGAGGTAGGCCCTGTGGCAATGTTATCGGCTCCGCTTGTGGGAAAAGACTTCACTTGTGTTTGTTCCTGTTTGGTTCTAGATCCCTATCCTGGCAAGCACATTATCAACAAACGCTTGAAGGGAACCCCCCAGCTTATGGCAGCTAGAATCTGCTAGATGCATTTCGAAGTTGGCGGTCTCGCAATCCAAGCTGGCATGATAGAATTACCATTGCCATGATTGCCTGGCTTGGCTGCAAGCAAACCTCAGTTTGAAAAGTTTTGTTTTTGAATTCAAAATTTTAATTATTGTAGACCACATGAACCTGCACATTGTGGCTGTCAACAATTTGGGGCCGATTTGGGGGCGATATGGCGGGAAGTTGTGAACAATTTGGAGCAAATTGAGGCAATTTGAGGGACGATTTGGGGGAGGGTAATTTGGGGTCAAGTCGGGGGAATTTCAGGGGCAATTTCGGCGCAATCTGGGGGTAGATTTTGAGGGCAGTTCGGCGGCAATTTGGGGTCAATTCGGGGTCAATTCGGGGTCAATTCGGGGGCTGTTTGGGGGCTGTTTGGGGGCAGTGATGGGGTAGTTTGGGGGTAATCTGGGGGCATTGTGCGGGTAATTTTGGGGTAATCATTGTGCGGGTAATTTGGGGGCATTGTGAAGGTAATCTGGGGGGAAAGTGGGGGCAATTGGGGGCAATTGGGGCACAATTTAAGGGCAAGGGAGCGTGGGGCGGGGGGCCGGATTGGGGAAGCTGGCAACAACATGCTGCGAGATGCTGGCCTCAGCCGATGGGCAACCAGGTCTGTGCCATGTGTAAGTCCTTCGGTGCCAAACCCCTGGGAGGAGGGATGGATGACGAGTGTGGCGGTGTTCGAAAGGGGTTCGTCTCTTTGATCTCCTTGCAGGCTCGTAGCCGCCTTTGTTGATTGATTGGAAAGCCGAATCGGTTGCTTCTGGAAGCTCTTTTACCATTTCTTCACCATGGAAAAGTTGCATTATCTCTGGGCTTTCCTTCTCTGTTCCTCTTCACTTTTCGGAAATTGCATTATCTCTTCTCTGGGCTATTCTTCTATGTTCCCCCCTTAAAACTTTTCTATTGCCTTAACCTGCCAGTTCACCCGAAGCAGAGTACTACTCTTACGGAGTCTTACCGATAGACACGATAAGAGCAGTACTCTTTTCTGATTCAGGCCTGGGCCCGGTAGAGGAAGCGACAGGCCGCTTTGACAAGGCACCGTTGCAGGCTCACGAGTCACGAGCCTTGGGAGGTAGCTTCAGTGTCAACTGAGGCTCGTGTGAACTGGCGGTTTCACCGTGTTTTTTTTTTCTGTGAGTGATGGCCAATTTTTATTGCCTTACTTTCCTTTTGTTGATGATAAATGATGAACAGATAGAAGAAGCAAGCGAGCGTGGAGAACGGTTTGTCGATAGAGTACTGCGGCTTTCGAACATTCAAGCGATGTCGAAATACATTTTGGGAACGGATGCCCTAAAGAGCAGCTCTGCAACCTCTGTTGCTGTTGCTGGCGGCTTTGAGAGGGAGGTGATTGGGACCTGTGTCAGCGAAATCAAGGTAAACAAGGCCGGGAAAAAAAAAAAAAAAAAAAAAAAAAGCCATCCCAAAGCCCTCCAAGGTCCCACCCAATGTTCCAAAAGGACCAAAACCCAAACTCTGCAGATTTGTATGGGCCATGCCAAACGTATAGTGCATGCCGCTTGTTCGTTTCTTTTTGGTTTTGGTTTTTGTTTTCGTTTTTTGTTGTTGTTGTTTTCATTTGTCATCCTTTGGCCGCCTGCTGTAGTGGATGTAAATTCTACTGATATCTGTGGCTAGTGATTCGAAAAAGAGTTGGAAAGACGCTGGCTGTGTCAAGGAGTGGGCGCTGGCCATGTCAAGGAGTGGGAGAGAAGTTCTATAGCCTAGCAATAGGTTAGCAGTTACCCATAATTTTCCTAATTTTCCCAGAAAAAAAAAAAGGAGTGGGAGAGAAGTTCTATAGCCTCTTTGCCTCTTTCTGCTGCCAGTTCCGCCCAGTTCGGCCTAACATAAAGTGGTCGTGATTTTGAGAATTGACTAATGTTGGGCACTGATTTCAAATAGACGGAAGATATATTGGAGACTCTTGACTATATAATATGTATAGTCAAACAGAGCTGCCCAGTAAGCCGTAGGCAGAGAGGGAGAAGAGGACAACAAACGAGGGGCTGTATATATATTTGAATTTTGAAACTACTTTTCATCCTCCCAGAATATAACGAGGGTTGTGTGTTGTTTTGGAAAAGAAAGAAGAAGAAAAGAAACAACTACTTCTCAGTCGAGGTTTGCGTTCCAATGCAAATAGGCAAATAGGCAAAAAACTTGAAAAAACTTGAAAAAAGACACTAAAGGCAGTTCTGTCACGGTGGCAGTTTGGAATGCGCAAAAAAATTGAAAAAAAAGGAAAAAAAGGAAAAATAGCTAGGAAGATTCTCACGCCCGGCCGGGCACCCGGGCGTGACGCCCGGGGTACCCGGG